GACGCCCTACACTCGGCAGGTAAAGGCTACGTCTGGCGTTCGGCTTGGGCACACTTCATCTCTCTCTCTTGTACCATGCCTGGATCGAAGTGTTTCAGAATCTCGTCCGCCGACATCTGGAAAAGGAAACGGCCAAGATGGAGGTGGCCATGCTCAAGCAACGTCTGATGCACAGTTACCTACCGGAGAAGTTGAAAGCGCTGGACGCCATCGGCGATCAACGGCTTCGTCAGCGGCTCCTCGATCGGTGCGAGAAGATTTCGCAACGCACGGTATCCCACCTGATGACGGTCTACATTGCCGCCGCCGAAGCGCATATGAGAGAGTCGCAGAAGAACTTCGAAGCGGGCATGGCTACCTTCCGCGAGAACCTAGTGCGCGGTACCGTTCACCACAAATTAACGCCCACGATGTGCGACATTATGAAGCGTTGCCTTCACCATCTACAAGCTCAAGTTACGTTTTTTCGTCAAGGCTTCGACGGTCGCGAACTAGATTTGGTTCACCGTCGGAGCGCTTCTACCTTGCTCAAATCCATCCTGCCCTATTCACCAAGCATGTTTCAAGATGCGGCGCATCGTCTCTTGTCCGAGCAGCTGTGCTTTCTCCAACGTGGTCCCACGTACGTCTCGCCCGGTCAAATGCATCTCCCATCCGACGTCTCTCTCGATGATCTGCTCAACAAACAGATGGCCCGTTGCGTCGTCAACTGACGAAACTGTTCACCCAATTTCCCATCGATATTGCCCGACAGATGAATTTCGATAGGAGCCTTCAAGCCGATCAACTGCTCTTGCAACGCACTGCCGACGATTACAATACCTATTACCTGGGTTCTCTGCACACCTTCAAGGATCGAGCCGATGCACACGTGCACCAGAGCAATCGCTACAAAATGCTCGGCCCGCTTGATGCCACGCATTCCGAACAGCAGCAACTATCGGACGTCGTGAAATCGATCGATTCGGCTCTTCAGGCGCTCTACGACAAGAAGCTGCTTCCCAAGGAGTACTTCGACCGATTTCAAGTGCGCCAGAAATCCACTCTACAGCTGCCGCACATGTACTTCTTGGCCGAACTCGATCAGGTAGGATTCGATCACGCTCTTCTCGCTCTACACTGGCACATTATTAGCACGGCGATCTGGTCTCGGTACGACCGAGGCTCTCCTCGTGCCAGCGTTGCCCGGTCTATACGTTGGCGACCTACCTGGACGAGTTCAATCGACGGCGGTGATTTCATTCAGAAGTTTGACTACTTCTGC